ATAAAAGTCAGAAATAGAATTGGCGTCATAACAAACCCATAGAACCATGATATCAGCTAAAAAAACGAGAAAAAATCATCAAAAAAAAAAAGTCGATACTGAGGTTTGAACACAGTACTCCTCAGTTCACTCCCGTATTTCTTTATTCCAATAACTAATTGTTACTTAGAGATAAAAATTACAGATGCATAGAGCAGTCAACCATATACGCTATTTTGAATTGAAAATGACTTGGTCTATAAGACTAAGTTACAAGTCAAGTCAGAAAAAGACTTGACTTGCCCATCGCTGATATGCCGTATACTACAAGGTCAAACCGAATTCTTCAATTTTGGCTTATTCTATCAAGTACTTTTGCGAAACTGTTTAAATAATTGTAAAACATTTGCAAAGAAAGTAATATTCAGGTATGACGAAGGGGATGAATACTTTGATAGTTCAGTCCAGTACAGTTATGTACCGGTATAGATATGCTTTATGGTATAATTCAACTTAAACCTGCGATGTCTATAACGGATGAGCACGATACTAAAATCAAAAACTTAAGGCAGCTAAACATTAAAAAAAAGTCAACTACTTTTTAATTTTCTTAATGGTGCTGGAAAAGTTAAAAAGAACCCTTTATTGATCTACAAGAATTAGAGTGTAAACACAAATACCACTAAACAGACATAATCGCATATTGAATGAATCTCTATGCTATTGTTACTATAAGCAAAATTCATTTGCCATAATGTGTAGCAATATCATCGGCCAATTTTTCTGATGCCATATATATCGGCAACATTGGAAACCAGCCCAGTGCTATCGGAAATATTGAGTTATCGACAATACGAAGATTTTTAATATTTCTCACTCGTCCTTTTGAGTCTACAACAGCCATTTTGTCACTAGACAAACCCATCTTTGACGAACAGCATGCATGATGTCCATAAACATTTTTTCGTATGTGTTCTTCAAGATCTGCTGTCGATGTTACATTTGAACCCGGTAATACTTCTTCTTCAATATAATTGGATAAGGGCTTACGATTTAACAGCTTTCGTATATATCGAAGATTTTGTACTATTCGACTAAGATCATCATCTTGTTCATTAAATAGTTGAAATTGTATTAATGGTGTTTGAAACGGGTCTTTCGATTTTATTTCAACTGTGCCCATATTGTTTTTACTATGCGTTTCTGCACTATTTACTGTTAAATAATTTGGTGTGGCAGATGTTAGATTCTCAAAAAATCCTTGACGGAAACCGATAAGCGACAGATTCAAGAAAGGTATCTTTGCCTACAAGTACTAGTGTCTGTCGGCACGATTCGGACGTTGTTAATGTATCACCAGAAAACGAATTGGTGCGGCGCTCATAGATACCATCAATTTAAGGTGTCCGGTTGAAAAGAAAGCAGATTACGTTTTTCTAAGGTCTATCCGTAAGGCTGATGTGCATGTGCTCACTGAAGGACGATGCAGTGAGAAATAAAATCTATTCCGGTTAGCCACTGGTACAGAGTACAACAAAGGGACCTTAGAAACTTAAAAAACAATTTGAAAATAATCGTTTTAAGGTTATTACAGATGCATCAGATATTTTGTTAAAGGTTTTGCCAAACTTACAAAATATTGTACTGTTGAGAATATTACATAGGCGACAATTGTTTTCCAAAAATATCTTAAGATAGTTAAGTTTGTTCTTTTGTCAGAATTCAGTAGTATATGATTATCGATCGAAGATCTAAGATCTGTTGTTATGTTACATAGTTGGTACACGTTGTATAAAAGAGCATTTAAACAATTTCCGGTAGAATGGATGAATAACTAAAGCGCTTTACTTACCATACTGGGACTTCTTGATGCAAGAAGCTATAAGAAAGCAAGAAAAAAACAAGAAAGTGGGACACTTCCTGCAGCAAGAAATATTTCTTGCTTTCTTGGCTCAAGATCTTATGCCAAGAAATGTATAAAAACACTTCTTGCGTTTCTTGATCCAAAATCTTGAGCCAAGAAGGGCAAGAAAGGTATGACTTTTTTATCAGATTCTTATAAGACTCTTATCAAACTCCATTTACTTTCCTGCGTAATCTTATATAAGAATTTGATAAGAATCAGGTAAGGTTCTTACGTGAATCTTATTGGGTACTTATAAGTTTCTTATAGGATTCTTAACTGACGACGCCTAGGCTGATGTGGTCTTGTCGTTATAATGTATCGTTTCTATAGCGTTGCTTGCTCAAATTTTGACAGAAACTGACTCTGCGTAACGTTACAGAGCAAATGAATAGTTTCGAACTATAGATAAATTATTTCTGATGTTTTCGCTAAGTTGATTATATAACTATATCAGAGCAACGTCTAGAACTGTCGAACATCTCATTATGTAAAGATATATACCCTATGTGATTTTAAACAACAATTCCAAAACTACTTCAGTATTTTTTGATGTTTTAGCGAAGAACTATGGTTCATTATATAACTCGTGCATGCCTATTCTTACCAGCTACACAAAGTGGATTTACAGCAAGTTAATCCGCCGCCGCCGAACTTAGTTAATCTATGATGCGCTTTTTCTCATTAGATCACGATCGTTTGATCGTAATATTCGAAGACATTTGGTTACATGAAGGAAAAATCAAATGAAATATTGCAGCGTTTAAGAGACTATCGCAGAAAATGGCTGATTGTTATAAAAGTTAAAAGGATTATTTACTGTCACCGGCACTTCACCGCTAAAGTAGAACGAATAAACGATTGAGTGTTAACTTAAATTAAGTTAAATATCTAAGGTTACCTCTTTTTGCTGGATATTCTAGATGGATGACTTGATATATGTTTCCGGAAGCTGCAAACTAGGCTTTGTTGAATGTAACCAACTAACGAGATTTCCGTTGTTTGCATAAACATTTTTTCTTGTTTTATAATATTCTGCTAAACATGGATCGCTATTATTCGCGCCAAAAATGCATCCCTTTAGCAAAGTCCAATTTTGTTTCATTTTTAATATATAAGTTACTTCATGATGATCCTGCATGTTTCTACCAACTCCTGCTAAATTTTCTTTGACTTTAATGTTATATTTTTTTAATAACTTTTTATTACCAATACCACTTAGTTGTAAAATTTGTGGTGTATTGAACGCACCACCACTAATGATTACATCATATTTTGCATAAATCGAATATTGTCGTTGAGACGAACGATTGCGTTGATCAATTGTAGACTTTGGACTTGCACTATACAGATCGGAACCTAAAAAACAAGGTTCTCAGCACAACTCTTGAAGAATTAATGACAAGTTGGCAGAATTTGTGAACACGTATGCAATGCGGTAGGACCTAAGTAATAAAACGTCCGTAAGAAGGACTTCAGATGGAGAGAGAAAGTAAGAAGTTCAGTATGTAAACTGTTATATCTCAAATACTCAAAATCTAAAAAGCAGCGGTCTATAAATGTAAAGATTTAGTACTACCCGTCAGAAAACTCAACTTTTGGATCTTCTATTTGTAGAACGATGCTGCGCAAACGTTTACGAATGCTACTCAACGTGTGTCTATAGAAATTTACCTTTAACATAATTAACACCGCGAGCCTGTTTATTTTCAATGATTATTTTCATAACAAATGTATTAGTCCATACATGTAAATTTTTGGGTCTTAGTTTTTGTACTTCTTTGATTCGCTGATAAATACTCGATCTTGTTGCTGTTTCCTTAGTAATAAGATCAGCACCTAAAAACCAGCTTTCATATGTATTATTATGATTCACATCTGGATTATAGACCAATTGTTCAGTAATTGTATCAAACAAACTAATTAGTTTCACATCTTTTTTGATGGGTATTTGTGGTACAGATATATTAAGCCAGCCTCTAAATTTTGTTTTGTTTTTCTTACTACAATATTCACAATTTTCAACTATATGCCGATATTTTTGCATATTTTTAAAGTTCCATGATTCATCATCAAGTAATTTTGCCATTTTATCCCAATCTAATGGATGCGCTGACAATGCTATCATAACATTATGCATTGAACACCCTCCTAAGAGGCTAGCTCTAGGATATAATATTTGTTCCGTTGACTGTTGTGCTGAATTATTAAACAAATACGCCTTCATATCCCAACGCATTTCGTCGTCGTTAACACTGTTTGGCCACAGACCGGGAATCGATGTATTTCTTGTATCATAATCTTTTCCAGCTTCGATAAGAAGAACTTTGAATCCTCGTAATGCTAAACGCGTGGCAACAGTGCCCCCACCTGGTCCCGATCCAACAACAATGAAATCGTAGGATCCTTGTTCTGTAAGATTTTCATATGTATTGTCTTGTTTTTTTTCACCGTTGTATGATGCATATACCAAATGCACAGCAGGTACAAGCACAAGTGAAATAACAATAAATTTTAGCTGATGCATGAGCAGTTTTTAAAGGACTACAACCACATGTACTAGTCCAAAAAGCGATATTTAATCGGATACATAATTACGAATTACGAAAAAACAGCGATAAAATACACGTGATAACAAACTCACAAAGAAATATTGATGAATAGAAAAACTGTCACGTTTTCTCTTACATAACAAATGATGTCCTGTAAATCATTTTTTAACATGCACACACACACATGTGTTTACACTAGTAAACGTGACTGTGCTATTTTAACTGATTCGCACAATCACGTGTTCAAAATGTGGAATGAACCTTTTTTTTATACATTTGCAGTTTTCAAAAAAAACAAATATAAAACCAAGACATTTTACAACTCTTATCAATAGTCTTTGCCGATCAGATAACCGGAATATCTAATACATATTCATTGTAGACACGGTTCATGAGTATTTTATTATACAATTTTATTTAGTAGAAAATTGATTATAGTATGCAAAATTAATAAAATCACGGAAGTTTTGTAAATGATAGATAAAAACGTTCAAAACAGAAAAAGTCAAGTATCTTGAACAAAACAAGGAAATTGAGATTATTTATAAGAAAGAAAAACGATTATTTATTTACCCACTGCTTTGTTGCCAGTTCGGAATTTGTTTTGCTGTCAAGATTCCAGCAGTATCAGCTTCTGTCATAAATCTTGTATAGCATGTTCGACCGACAAACTGATCTAAAAACAATTCTTTTTTTAGTGGCTAGACGAGCATTTATGATGTCGGTTGCATTTAGGAGATCAATACTATCGTAACCGAGAGATGTATTTTTCTATTTTAGGTTGTGTTTGGAAGGAATGTCAAAGCATGTTTATAACTTTCATATTCAAAAGAACATTCAAGATCTACTAGAGAATCTTCGCAAATCTAAGTACACACGAAAAGAAATCGACCAAAGATACCACTGTTTTAGAAAATGTTGTGGTCTACAAAATTTGTAAATAATTTACAAAGAAACATTTGCGTGCGTTTTAATTTCAAAATTCTCTTAGACGTTCTTCCTGCAACTTCATATGAAGTTTTGTTTTTGAACAATGTTTGAACTTTAAAACTCTGGTGCTAGGGTGAAACGAAGTACGTTAAAATTCTAACCACATATTCAGAAATTAATTTCAGCTCCTAGCCTTGACCGACTTTCTCAGAAGGTTATGGTCATACAGTTTGGAATTAATAGGATTAAATTCATTATCCATTTTGAGTTATATATTATATTGATTTATTCTCCACTTGCCTTCTAGTTGATCGATGTAACTTTCGTCATTTATCTGAAAATTGGCAAACTTTGAACGTCCCCTCTTCTATTGTAAGACTTAATGAAATTTTACTTTAACCGTCGAGGTAGCTGTAAGTTAATTTCAGAAATTATTCTAAATAATTCCGTCTTTGCATAGAGTCCATAAAATGTTTTATTGATTCATATGAAATCTCACATTAAAAATGTTTCCACAAAAACATGTCAAAAAATTAATAATAATTCTATATGAAATTTGAAACTCGACTTGATACAATTTTGATTTTGCTTTATGACCGACTGCTTATTAGTTACTAGAGACTCAAACAGAATTAAAACAGAATCAAAGAAGATATCACGTCCGTTATCGACTATTCTTAAGAGTCTCATGTGGTGGTTTTCTTCGAGAAAGACAGAATTAAGGCAGGACAAGCAACACAACTCAGCTCACACCGTGCGAGGGTGTTACTCTTTCTTGTTCTTATCGAATAAAGAACGATATCTGTCACACGATGAGAACGGAACACAATATCACTGGCCACTGCATACATTACGTCTCAATTCTCTGCTTTATAGTGACTAACGTCATAATGATGTATGGTTTGATCTTCAGAAGTGGTCAGCCATCCTCTTAATACTAGTCATACTCGTTCGCGGTGGAGAAAGACAAATTAGTCACAATATTCTCGGAATATAAATATGCGAGTTTTGTCCGCTTTCGAAAATAAATCTATATGAAATTTGAAACTCGACTTGATACAATTTCGATTCTTTTAGAAATCAATTCAGCCTGAGTCTCTAGTAACTAATAAGCGCCTGTAAAACTAAACTAAATGAAAATTAACAATAAATTTTTTCATTTCATAAATGACAAAAGAATTGATATGCTTTCGCATCGTGATCAGCAAAGCGCTCCAGAATGCTACTCGCTCCAAGGCAAGTCGCCAAACAATCCCGGAACTCATAATACAGAGTTCAGAAAAATCACCAGGAGAAGCCACTTCGAGGCAAAAGAAATTCTTGAAGTCTTTTTAAGATTTCAAATAAAGCCGTTAAGACAAGTCACCAAAGCTTTCCATGGAATTTCTCTTTCTCTAAAGCAACATACTCTTAGTCAAATCATTGCTGTTGGCGATGAGGACAACCAAACACAACGTCATAAATCTCATTATGTATTCGTATTCTACAGTAATCTTGGTAAAATCAATTTGTTCGACAACTAAATAATCATCATATAATAGCATACAGATGGATTTTCAACATACATGTATTATTGGCATATTTATATATTTGAAAATATGTAAAAATGAATTCTTTGCACAAAATACGTATCTTTCAGAAATAATATTATTGAAGCTTGATTCATCCATAATAAACACGTTCTTGAACTTGAACTTGATTTACCGAAATTGGAGTACTAGGTTGTTTTGTTTCAAGACAATTCGTCTTGGACACTTACTCTCATGGATAATTCGTTTCCCGATATTTTCTCTTAGACAACTTGCCTCGGACAATTCGTCTGTGACAGGTCGTCCTTGGAGCATTCGTTTCGGACAATTTGTTCCATGGATAATTCGTCGCCTCTATAATAACGGACAAATCGTCTCTTATGTCTATTAAGCCCATTCTGAGAAACAATAAGCGTGACAGGACCGCGTAAGATGACTTCCCGTGTACAGTGCTTTACATACTCATCACAAACCTATGTAGTTACTTTTCATTGCATCAGTGTTACAATAGTAGATGCACTTCGACCACAGTCCACACACCAACTCAGAAAACCTTGATTTCAACGTGTTCTACGGTAGAACAGGGGCAATAACGGGTAGAACTTCTATCTGTTATTATGTCTTATCAATTATTTTTGTCCGTTCTGTATCGCATGAAGTGTACTACAGCATGATTCATTTATTTTTGCTCGTTTTCTTCAGTTTGCTGTATTTCTGTAAAACTTCCGAAGTTTTTTATTTTTATATGGATATCTAGAGTATTGATTACTCTATCGAATTGTATAGTTTTAATTCGATTTATTTCGCATCTTGTCCCAAGAAATTAATAAGTTTCGAAAGTCAAGTTTTCACAGTCAAATAAAAACTTTTTCCTCCTAGGAGTGTCTGAATTTTTCTTGAATAATTATGATCTAACAATGACCCTGTTTTCAATTTTATATAGCTGGATATAGTATTCATTTCTTTAGCGAACTGTATATTTTTCATCGAATTTGTTCCTTATCTTAACCAAAAATTTAGTGAATTTCTAAAAGTTATTTTCGTAGAATTTTCAGTATTTTTTCTCGAGTAAATTTGAATTAGCCAAATTATTTGGCTAAACATTTGAATCTTTTTCATTAATATATGGTTGGATAGAGCGTTGATTTCTCTATCAACTCATGTAGTTTTAGTCTGATTTAGCTGAGGTCTTATAGATAAATTTTGGATTATGCAAATAGCATTGGAAAGTCTGTTTTTTTTCATAGTGCAAAAAAGTTTATTTAATAAAATTAAGGTGCTCCAAATTCAAAATTAGTTAACTTTAGTTCAACCAATTCAACCGTTAGTTAACTTTCATTTTTCTTTTAAAAAGCATCAGACACTTAGGAACATTTTCTTGCCTATAGTGAAAGGGAAGGATGAGTCCAAGAAAGAGAAGAAATTAGTTTACTTGATCCCATGTTCTAATTGTGAACATGTTTACATCGGTCAAACAGATCGAAAACGAGATAAACGA